TGAAATTGTTTCCCGTTTGTACCGCCAACACGTTCGACCTCACACCACGGAGTGGTATATGTATTAAATTGAGCGTTCCAAAGGTTGGCGCGGATGACCAATGGTAAATGTGAGGTTGTATTTAACTAGCGACTAACAGACAAAAAGGCATGCTAATCGTCAATGTCAATACACCGAAAACCCGGAAGTCTTTAGTTGAATCATGACATCCGGACCGTACGGTACCTATTTTTACGTTCGATGTGTTGATGAATCAATAAGACGTTTTATAAATTTTCTAACTAGAATAATATTTCAATGTTATGTTGGTCCTTCATCGCAAATTAGTCGAGAATTTCGATTTACCACCATGAAATACTAACGAATAAATCGTTTAAATGAGTTCGATAATAGTATTTTTATTGCGTGACATTATTATTTCGAATTATGTTTTCCAAAAATAATAATCAAACAAATATATTTAATAAACAGAAAAATGAAATGTTTGAACGTTTAAGTCTTGAGAAATATGAAATGAACAAACGGATACACATGTATAAGGTACGTGGGCAGTTTATAATTCAAAAACCATATACTTATTTTTCGTTTTGATTGTCCAAAAAATTATTAAAAATCAATTTGAGTTATTAAAATTATAAATACAACTCAGATCTCGGAAGTAGATCTCAGAAGTAAATGATAGATCAATCTATTTTTCTTGATGTAATATAAGTATAATCCAATTAATAAAACATTGGAATTCAAAACTACAATTAAACTGAAGGTTGTGTAAATAATTATTGTAAATTTAAATAATTTACTCTTGAATCTTCTTGTTATAATATTTATTTTATTTTATTTAAAAAGCATTTATTGTTGCATAGTGTTTATCATGTAAATATCGCTTAGTATAACGGTCACAACTTGCAAACGTAAACTGAGGTTCGTTAGTGAAATTATGTTTATTTTATTATTCGTTGAAAGATTTTTATTATACAACTGTATTTAAAAAAAAAAAATTTTCACAAAAATGGTGAAACGTATTCAACATAGTGATTTATTTACGTTTTTTTCATGGAAACGTTAGATTATATTATTTTAATTTATTTCATTTATTTTTTGCAATTTAAATACATCACGTTTTTCGTATGTGGATTAAACTCATTCTGCTTAAACAATACTATTTAGATTTAAGTTCGTTTTCAATACAATATTACCATTTGAACAATTGCAGTTTTGCATAATTACATTAGTCAGTCGACTTGATGTGATATAAAATAAATCTTCGTATGTAAAACCATCGGTTATCGAGTACTAAATGTTATATTCTTACTTCCATACCTCCATGTCAGTGCATTAGTTGTTATTTAAATCTGCATAATACTAAATATATAAATGACAGGTGTGTAGTGAATTTTAATCAAACAACGTTTGATTAATTCTTGATTCATATGTACGCCTCATTTGAAAATCGTTATTACAATCATCCAATCATTTCCAAATAAAGAAAATATTATTTGACCACATAACGGTAAGATGGAAAATAATGTATACATATGTTATTTTATAATCTCCGTGTTAAATCGCATTCCATTATGTAATCTATTATCCTGAAAATTAAAATCTACAATTGCTGCAACAATTGCGAGGTGATGGGATGCCCGTTCAACTCTATTCACTTACCGTTCACAAGAAGTTAATTTCTAAAAATAAAATTTCATAAAATTATTTTAACGATCGACGATTTTAGAACACATATAATATAATATTATGGTTGATGGTTGAAATTCAGAAAATATATGTGTACACAGTTATAATATTTGTTCTATAGTAATGATGGAACTTAAAAATAACCTACATGTTCGGTACATGAATGAGAACGCGATAAAATAATGTTGCACGATAGATAAAATAAAATGTAATTTACGTTGCTCCATTTGCTATACAATTGTCAGGCGTCTGAAACCGAATCACCAATTCATCCGAATACTTAATGTTTGTCTATACTTTTAAGAGAAATAGAGTAGAGAAAACGAAAAACGTGTTTAGGGATAATCGATGACGTCATTGAGTATCAAGAGTAAAATAGTAATTAGTTTCAATATATATTTCGACACAATGGAGATAGGCTGTGAATAATCGAAGGATACTAGAAAGTTCACTAATTAGACGATGATACCCTAGAAGTAATAGTGGTGACGTGATGTTTTTTTCGACGACAGTGACATCAACTCATTCGTTAATGACAAAACGTATATATCTATTTAGATAGCATGCATCTATTATAGCATGTGCATATATTTCTATTGATATAGAACAGACAGACATCGTCCGGGGTGGAACTCAAAATATTTCTTATACATATAGCTACGGATCTACTTGAGATGTTAATTAATAAATATATATATATAATATTCGATAGTTAATGTCCTGTGTAGAATAGGTACGATAATGTTATTTGTTTTTCTTTTCGCGACAAGAACAAACATCCCTCGTGTCATGATGGGGCTGTTTTCGCAAAGAAATACGACGTTAGATTAGAAATACGCACTATAGGACGTCCAGTAGTCGTATTTAATTTTCGGTTTAAATCCGACGAGCGTCTTTAAAACCTCTCTCTCTCTCTCTCTCTCTATACATATTTCTTCCTCTCGTTTACTAACTCTCTCTTTATCTTTCTCTCTCTCTCTCTCTCTCTCTCTCTGACGGACGGAAAACGATATAAGTTAGAAGAATCGCATTTTTCAGAAGCGTGTCAGAGAGACCGTTTTCAATCTCTCTCTTTCGCACTGATAAAATGAAAAAATTTATATTTTCCTACGAACTAAGCGCTTCGTCGTCGAGAACCGGAAACAAACGACTCCAGTGTCTAACCAGGCTGAACAAAGCACATATTATTATCATGTATCTATATGACGACTACGAGAACAACTACGTGTGCGATTAAACGTGTTCAAAACGATACAATTTAATAAAATGTCGAGTAATAGTAATACCATTGGGGTGTGTCGTACTCAAATCCCGGGAAATTTTATCGTCTCCGAATACGCGGTTGCGATTATCTCGCGAATAATTGCGCGTTTACGATGAAATAAACCACCTCTGAAAGATAAATAATTCAAATATGTATTCAGATCACACGCAATCAAACTGGTAACGTGATCATCAGCCACTTAAATATTAAGATTCTCAGATGAACGAAACGGTGGATCTCTTTCGGTGATATCGGACAAGTAAAATAAGTTGTAAATATCCTTCGGACGACGGCGCGCTTACGGTAGGAGGTATTATTATTATTTGTATATGAAAGTAATATCCTCTTTTCCTTTTACTATTCTTCGATTCCGAGGGATTTTCTCTCATCGTTCTTTTATGTCAATATTGTTCAGTCAATACTTTTAGGACGTTTTTTTTTTTTTTTTACTATCATAAATAAACTGCTTCAAAAATAAAATAAAAACTGTTGATAGCTTTGTTATTAGTTTGACATTGTACAATTTTATGTTCTATACCGCGTATTATTCAGCGATAATTATTACGCCAAATAACTACCTTCCTAAGAAACGAGGTACCAAAAATACGTCCGAACGGTTAAGGCGGTTGAAATTGGGTCGTTTTTTGTGCATTAAGACCAAGGAAAAGAAAAAAAAATACACTTCCAGGAGTCCAATTTTCACAAAAATGTTTGAATTTGTTTACTCATTGTCTGTGTTATGTAGGAAATTAATTTTTTATTTTATGTTTTTTTAGTAACAATGAAGTAAAAGTGAATTTTAGAAAAAAAGAAAATTAATTTGGTACTATAATAATTAAACAATAGAAAAAATTGAAAATCCATTTCCTACATAACCTAGAAAACAGAATTATGAATTTAAATATGTTTTCAAAATTAAAATCGGGTTTTTGGTACTGAGTGCTTTCTTTCGCTTTTTGGGACTTTCATAGACGCATAGGAGTTGAAACATTTTGAATCACAAAATATAGTGACGTGTGACTGCGCGTAGGTACGCTATACGGATTTACGAGAATCTTAGCCGTGACTATTATACGGGCGATAAGAAATCAATAACATACCAATATTATAGCAGTAGAATAATAATAATGATACACAGCTGCTAATAAAATATTATTCAGTATATATGTGTATTTTTTTTTGTGTCTGTCATCATGTTTTGAGGCAGTAAAAGTGCTTCAATTTTAAAAACCCAGGGTGATTTCTGGGGTAGAAAAGTGAATCTAGTTAGTGCTTTGGGTTGTCAAAAGTCAAAATCGGAAACTCGCTCTGCTGTACAAATGTACAGTAGGGGTGGGGTGGGCCTTGGTCATAGAGTGTAATGCGGATATGAATTTAGACTCGTAAAAATTGAAAATTTAGAGGCTTGTAAAAAATTTTTAATTGACTTTCGCTCGATTTTTTTTATAATCATTGTAAGCAAAACTTATGGAAAACAATATAACATATTTCAACTGATATTAATTTAATATTAATGAAAAAAATAAAATAAAAAGTGATATTAACTTACTATTAAACATTGATATTATCTACTTTTACTATACAAAAACATAATATTAGTTTTCAACGAAAACAATATTATTTTTATTGATGTCAATTTTTTTGAAAAATAATGAATTAAAATTAATAAAACGGACTTTATGGTATTTTAATACAAATATTTAAATTTTGGTAAAAATAAAATTAAAAAGTATTCAAAATACTTAAAAAATACGTAAAAAAATTGTATTTAGAATACCATATAAAAACTTCAAAAAGTATTTAAATACTTGTATTCGAATACTTTACAAGACTGCATATCATATAAAATATACTTTTCTAATTTCTTTTCACTAGGTTCATTCGTGGCGATAGACGTATTGTTAATATAAATCATTTGTTTGATTTAATTCAGAAAATGAACCACCCATTTTTTGGCTGCTCATTTAAATATCTTACTTTAATAAATGGAAAAAAAAAAATGATTTTTATTCTGAATTTATTTTTAAGTGTATGATGTGCAACAAATTAGAAGTCATAACAACTGAATGTTCAACTTCGGTGTGCTTAAATACAACAGAAGTACAGAAGTGGTTACAACAGTTGTAAATACTGGACAAGGATACAATACAATGCGCGCTGTGACGGTATTAAAATTATTGTTGAACTGTTTACTGATAAAACACAATAATTACGCGTTTGAGGAACTCACTCACACTAATGATCAGTTACTACACACACACACATACACTCACACAGCAATTTCCTATGAATATAACATATTGCCTATACTCAACCCCTTAAAAACGGTCCACTTTCAACCATAAGCTCTTAGGCCTTAAGCTCGAAATAATTTTCAACATGTGTATACCTTCGTTTTAAAGCAGCGATAAGTTATAAAAATATAAAGTAGTCTCGTATTTTACATAATATTAATTACTTACCAATTCTGTATAGGTTTTTGATTCCAAAACCGGGATTAAAATTGTAAACACTGTATATTTTGCGCTAAGCGAACGGAATGAGACTACAGTTAGAACGAAGCACGCACACACACACACACACACACTGATTTCTGTATGGTTTATATTTAATTATTATCATATATTTGTGATAATGTAATATATCAAAGTTCATTGAAATCATTATTTTAATTAATTAATTTTCAATTGTTTTTTTTTTCTGTCGATATTTCATAAAATATATTTTAAATCTATAAACATACAACGGTTTTTTCAGTGTAAAAAATATTATTTTCTTGAGAAGTTAAAAGTTGTTCATTTTTCTTTATTTCGTTTTTGTGGTGGCTTTTTTTTCTTTTTTTTTTTTAATAAAGCAAGCACTAACAAACGAGTATAAAACACATGAAAAATTGAATTTCTTCTGGTAAAGGGGAAATTGAATTGAAATATCTGTCCCTCGTACCATTTCGGATGAAATATTACTAAACAATATTTTGATTTATGAATACACATATATATATATATTATAAACATGTCGAATAGGAAATGTGCAAGGAAACAATAATTAAATGCTGTCTATATGGACAGGGCGGAAAAATAAAAAAATAAAAGCGGTCACACAAACGCGTGGAATTGGATGTTTTTTTTATTTTTACCGAGTTTCTGTTCTGAAATGTACATACTGCAATTCACACACACACACACACACACACACACACACACACACACACACACACGCACACGCACATACCGATACACACATACGCATGCATGGTAAAAGAATATTATTTACGATTACAGATTAGTTAAATTAAAATAATCCATACTTGCGTATACCAACTGATGGCTTAGGATTAGTGTGAGAAGAGTGTGAATTCTAAATGCGCAATGTACAGAAAACAGTTAACAGTTTTGAATTATTATTTTTCCTAACATTTAATTCGCACACAACACGAAAACTAATATTGGAAAAGTTCATTAAAATGTTCAACTCATTACGTGTTTATTTCTTCTTAATTTATCATGCTTTCATGTTCTTTGAAAGTACAATATCATTCATCCGATGGTTATTATTACTTTTTTTTTTTACTGTATATTTTCATGTAATGAAACCCCATATAGTTGGGAGAAAGGCGAAGGAGAAGAATAAGATATTCTTATGCGATTCTTTTATATTTTTTAATCGAAGAAAAGTTACAAATATAATTTATTATTATAGCATTGATTGCTATACCGGGAAGAAATTATTAGTAAACTTCAACAATTTAAAATTTTTGGTATTAATGCAAGAATGTTTATTTTATTAAGTATCTTAATTTCATACTTTTTATAGAAATCAGTAAAATAATACCTAAAAGTGCAGAGTATCTTCACGTTGATCAGAATTTGGCGTATGTAATTTTTATTTTTCCTTCAACTTTTTAAATGAAAATGAAAAAATAAACTGAAATAAAGTAAAAAAAACTGATTCATCGCATGGATAGTATTATATGTAGTTGATATATAGTACCAAGTATTCGTTGGTAAGATTGTAATGATACTTAGTATCCCACCTATTCTTTCAAAAATTGTAGATATCAGCTCCTACCGATTGAGCATGGACTCATTTTTTTTTTTTTTTTTTTTTTTTGTGGGAAAAGATAATAAAGATAAGTGCACTTAATTTCAAGCAATAACCAAGTGAAATATTCTTAATAATATTATTCTTATCCTGACACATTCGTATTCCACTTGAATGATGAGATTTAAACCGATATAATTTATTTACAACAAAAATCACCTCAATAGATTAATTTTGTAAAAAAAAAAAAAAAAATCAACCATCGCTAAAAATAGTGTTTTTAGCATAAATTATGGTCAGTAAGATCATGCTAAAAAATGTCACACACCATGTGTATATATCCGTTTGTGTACATGTATTCGTCCGTTAGTTAAATTTTTTCCAGTAACTTTTTGACTCAAAATGACATTATCTAATTAAAATTTAATAGGGATAAGGAACACATATATAAATAAATGGATAAAAATATATTTAACTTAATTATTTTTAACAAATCTCTGTACACAACAAAATTGAGGAACCACATAAATTCATTTAAAAAAAAAACCATTCTTATTAAACGAAAAAATTTTCCATTTGATTCACAAATTAATTTTTTATTATTACTCAGCATTACATTTTAAACTACTTGTATTTAAAATATATAAACTCATAATAATATTGATTAAAAATCATATTTACATTTTATGAAATTTCTTTTTAAGGTTTTTTTTCAAAGAACCGTCAAGTTTGAGTTTCAACTGTGTGTTTAAATACAATAAGCGTGTGCGTAGTTTTCGTATAGTCACTGTACATATATAATGTATATTAATACATATATACACGTATTACAATAGTAATGCACCGTACGGGCCAGCGGTGTACGTTTCGTGCAGCATACACGGTCTTTCGGGTTCTTTAAAATGGTAAATACCAAATGAAACTCACGACTCTCGAAGGTAAAAGAGAAAAAATAAGTTAAGGGTAAGACCTACATTCCGTCTGTGATGGAAATATGTGCGAAATGTTTTGCACCAAAGTATAAAAGGTTAGCAGAGTAAATCCGCGCGCACCACCTTCTTTTCATCACCGTTGCAGTGTCCCACGGTTGGTATACGCAAGCCCTAACCGTGCCCGTGTATATATATATATTACATTCATGTACGATATTCCATGTGCCTATTCAGGCATACGGAAATTGTCAGTTCTCGACCGGCACCCCTAGAGTATCGAATACACGTAAAGAATGATAATGTAAAGGACTCTTCGGGAAAAAATTTTATTTTATATATATTTTTTTTTTTAGCCCGAAAACCTAACGTAATAATAAACCTGCTACCCTTTTCGCGGGCGGGTAAACGTGAAAGCACTGTGAAATCAAATGACATTCTCCCATTCGTTTTGTTACAATCTTTTTTTTCTTTCTCGTCCGCGAAAAAGTGACTGGCACGGATCGGATCAGACGTCGACGGTGGCACATTGTCCAGCGTTTGCTTGAAGAAACGACTTGGCGTTGAAAATTCGAAAGCCACCCGTCTCTTTGTTCACCATGATTATACTAAACTTCGACGTTTGATAGTCACTTTAATTTCGTATACGTCGTCGTCACCGTCCTCGTCTCGACTCGGTTCACCGCTTCGCACTTATTCGGTTTCACACAGCTGTAAATTCATTATTCAAATTGATCCCAACTTAAGAAACGTATAGACGGTCTTTTGCATTTATTTAACCTTTATTAGAGCTGTGCTTTAGAACTTTGTTGTGAGTCTATACGACGTTGCGGCAATGTATAAATCGCGTAAACTATATTAAAATACGCGTTCGACCAGTGTTCGTAAGCAATAAATTAACGCGTTCGTAATCGACAAAATTAACTTTTATACGTTTCGAGAAGTTACACTTTTCTATGTATACCGGATAAATTAAATAAAGCCATCATATGTTTGATAATCATTGATTAATTTATATATTTTTCAAAACAATTTATTAAAAAAAAAAAAAGAAACATTTTTACTTTAAGACATCAATTTTCTAAGATTTAAACTAAGATTCTATTATAGCATTGTTTTTTTTTTATTTTGCTTGGGCTAAGCTAGACATTTTTATTGATTTAACAATGGCAATTTAATTGGTTTTTTTGTGATAAATGTAATAAACATTTTACATACTACGTTTAATTTTTTCCAACAAATGCATTTATTTCATTAAATAATAAAATTCATTGTTTGTTCACTACTATTTTTGCTTTTTTATATAAACTATGAAAACAAAATAATGTGTGAAATCGAATAAAAATGTTGGCAAATACCTATAACATTTTTTTCACTATTAAAATAAATACACAAAACCGGGTATGACTATTATCTTGACTAAATATGTAAACACTTATTGAATTAAATAAGATAACATTAACAATAAATAAATATTTCAAATGAATATTATCAGACCAGCGTTTTGATTTATTATCCTTTTTTTTTTCAGAAGAAGTATGCAAAAGTTACAATAAGGCACTCTCTTATGACATGGCAATGAGATGAGATCCAATGATCGTTGGTCGTTACTGTGGATATGCGTGTTCCTTTGGTTCCAAGCCATCTCCGTCGGTCGATCGCAAAACCAATTGATCACCACATGCCCTAGTCAGTTTTCTGACCAGTCGTGTTCCTGTTACGACTTCGAGGAGGGCATCTTTCTCGAATGTCCTGGAGCCACTGGAACGGGAGTGCACAACGCTCTATTATCGGTGACCGGAGGGCTGATTCAATCGTTGAGCATCTACGACTTGGAACCTACTGTACATTCTTTGTCGGCAGATTTATTTCCTAAAGACACAAAACTCCGGCAACTCCAAATATCCCATTCAAATTTGTCAATAATTACGGACGATGGGTTGAATAACATAAAGACTCTAGAGTCGTTCGCGATGCTGTCCGGTAAATTGAAAGAAATTCCACAAAAATCATTTTCTACGCTGACGCAGTTGAAAACGATCGATATCGAGTCCAATGAGATTTCTGAACTCGGTAGTTATGCATTCTCTGGGTTGCAATTGATCAAGATAAACCTCAAGGACAACATGATACTTAAAATATCCGAGTATGCGTTCGCTGGCCTTGAAGCCAGCTTAACTGAACTCGATCTGTCCGACAACAAGATCAAAATGTTCCCGACGTCTGCCGTCAGGCGGCTGGAACGTCTGATGTCCTTGCGAATCGCTTGGAATGAAATAGCATCGATTCACGATGATCGCTACTCTTTCATGAAAAGTATGGTCCAGCTCGATTTGAGCTCAAACAATTTCGAATCAGTTCCTGAAGATGCATTCCGTTTATTTCCTAAGCTCAAAATGTTATCCCTCTACTATAACTCAGTAGAAAGCATACACAAACGAGGTTTCAGCACGTTGACTGAGCTCGAATCAATTGACATGAGCCGCAATAAAATAGTGTTCATGGACTGCACCACGTTCAAATACAACATACATTTACGAACAATAGACCTTAGCCATAATCATATTCATTATATAAGTGGTCTGTTCGCCAACCTACCCGAGCTCAGGGAATTGTTCCTGTCCGAAAACAATATACTGGAGATCTCCAGTGACTCGTTTACGAACTCTCCAAAACTGTCGGTGTTATACATCCAACAAAATGCAATCAGAATAATCGAACCTGGTGCTTTTGCTAGTTCGCCTGAGCTTATGCAGCTTTATCTGAGCGACAATTATATTGAAACCATCAACGAAAACACATTTATTCATTGCAACAAGCTTACGTCGTTGAGCCTGGACAACAATCGCATCACAAAAATTGAAAATGGCGCGTTTCGAAACAACAGTCGACTCAAAGAACTTCGACTGCAAAATAACAAATTGTCGATAATATTTCAAACACAGTTTGAGACGTTACCTGAATTATTAGAATTACATTTTCAAAACAATGTTATAGCCAAAGTGGAATCGGGTGCTTTCAAAACGCTCAAAAGCCTTCAACATATAAACCTTCAAAACAATGTACTCACTTATTTGGGTGACGTTTTCTTGCACGACGCGCCATCATTAGTGTCCATACAAATCGACTCCAACGTGTTGGCCAGCTTGAACAACAAGTCGCTTCAAGGCCAATCGAATCTTAAAGTGATGTGGCTCAGCCACAACAGACTGGTCAAACTAGATAAATCACTATTTACTGATTTATATCAAGTGCAGCGGATCTACCTGAACAACAATTCTATTGAACACATAGAGCTAGGCACGTTCGAGTCAATGCAGGTGTTGATGTTTTTGGACCTCAGTTTCAATAAGTTGCAAGAAGTCACATCGAAAACGTTTGTCGAACTCAGAGGTTTGGATGAACTGCACCTGGCCAACAACCGGATATCGCACATCGATGCCAATTCGTTCGCAGCGCTGAAAAAACTGACGGTTCTAGACTTGTCCAACAACCCTCTGACAAAACTACACAAGTACATGTTCCAAAAAGATTTACCTATACAGAATCTATTTCTCAATAATTGTTCGTTACGGACAATCGAGAACGGAACGTTTTCTAATTTAAATGTTCTCAACGAATTGTACCTGAAACACAACTACTTATTTGCAGACGCGTTGCTTCAGGTAGACGTACCCACGTTGACCACTTTGGACGTGTCTCACAATAACTTGGACGGCCTCAATGCGACCGTTCTTAAGTACTTGCCCAACATCAAGCGCGTGCACTTAGACGTTTGTAACATTGGACAAGTGGCTGCGACAACGTTTAAATTTAATCTTGAGGTGACCATGATGTCGATGGCAAACAACAAGCTAACCGCTTTGCCGGCAGACTTATTCAAAGGGCAGACTCGTTTAAGCACATTGATTTTAGACGGGAACGACTTTGGTACGGTACCATATTCGACGTTGTCGAATTGCGAAAGTCTGCAAAAACTGTCAATGGCTAGAAATATGTTGACCGAGTTGGATATGACAAAACTGACAAACATGAAAAACCTTCAGAGCCTTACGCTGTCTGAAAACCGTGTTCAAATACTCGCTGGGTTTCCCCCTACGCATTTTACACTTTTGACCGAGTTGAGTTTGGCCAACAATATACTGTCCTCGTTGCCGTTGAACTTTTTCCAGTCACTGGAACGTCTAGATATGTCCAACAATAATTTCCAAAAAGTACCACCACTGATAAAAAAATTACAGTTCTTAAATCTCACAAATAATCCTCTGGGCCAGATAAGCGAATCGATCAAACCCATAGCGGTTGAACATATCGACTTGGAGGAGCTTCACGTATGTGGGACAAACTTATCAGTGCTGGCGAGTAACGATTTCCTATCGTTCACCAATCTTCACCGCTTGTACATGTCCAACAATAATATTTCAAAAATATCACCTGGCACGTTCAGTATGCTTGAAGACTTGCATACATTAGACTTGAGCCACAATCATCTAGAATTTCTACCCCAAGAAAGATTACAAGGGTTGGGCCATTTACGGATGTTAAATTTATCGTTTAACTCGATCAAAGAAATAGAAGATTTTTCTTCGGATTTGGTCTCGTTGCAAGTACTTGACGTTTCGTATAACCAACTGGATAAAATCAACAAAGGCTTGTTTCGAAACCTGGAAAGCCTAGCCGAACTATATTTGTACGGCAATTGTATAACGTTTGTGTCGCCTGACGCCTTCAGATCGCTTAAAAAACTCAAGACGTTAGACTTGGGTAAAAACTATTTCAAAAATTTACCGTTAAACGCTCTCAGGCCATTGGAAACTCAGATCAAAAGTTTACGAACCGATGGTAAATAATAATAATCGAGCTTATTCAATTGTCGTCAAATGGAATTTATCAAATTGTATTTAATTGTTTTTGTATTTTTGTAGAAAACCCGATAAACTGTGACTGCGACCAACAAGAATTATGGGAATGGATGAGGGATCATCAAAAGCTGACGTCAGACGTGAGCTCAAAAGGCTTGATCTGTCAACACCCTCCAGAACTGCGGGGCCAGAAGTTTCTAGAACTGGAGCCTCCCGCGTTTTGCGCCGTGCCCGTCGTGCTCAAACTAGCCATTCAGGACATTCAACCCTACTCGGTGTCCGTGTCTTGGAGAGGTCGAAACCACACGGGTCTACACGGCTACAGGGTGGCGTATTATCCCATCGAAGATCCCGATTATCCTGCCGCGGCTATTTCCTCGGTCGCAGTGACGCCGAACGTGAGTCGGCTCGTTTTGCACCGCGAAACCACCAATCGCTAATTATTGTGCGCTTTTACGTTCTTTTTTTTCTCTCGTTTTCAGATTATGAATAAGTTCCTGGACAAGAACACGCAGAACACGCGTCTGGACAACCTGAAACCGGAGACTCGATATCTAGTTTGCGTGCTGGGCCTAGGCAACTGGATACCGCGCAATAGCTCGCACCACCCGTCCGGCGATTCGCAGAGCAGCCGTTGCGCCGAGGTGAAGACGTTGGAGGGCGACATGGCGTACTATTCGGACGAACATCATAAGAGCTCGATACTGACCAGACGGCTGGGCCTGATCATCGGCAGCTGTTTGGGCTGCGTCGTGTTCGTCGTGCTCGTGTCGGTGCTGGGCTATTTGAAAATCAAAAAACAGCGGGAGGATACGAAACGCGAACAGCCCCTGCCGCCCGAGTACCTGTCTTATAGGCATTTCTCGCTGCACACCACCGACCCGATTATCGCCGCCCCCGCGACTATCCAGTCCGGGTCGATCACCACTGTGCACTGAATATATGCGGTGATTCTCTATTTATTTATGTTATTAAAACATCGTATGTTCGATCCTCATTAGGTTTTTTTTTTTTTTTATACGAGTTTATTTTCTTTTTTTTTAATATTTATGGCCATTGACGGCCATTAATACTAATTATAATATAATTTAATGTATACCATTAACAAGATTACGTATCCATTGATATTAAATCTAAATTCCAATGTTAAATCGTTAATTATTGTAAATAATATTATATTCGTTGACAGAGTTTTTTTTTTTATTTAATCACGTATACATATTGATAACAAAAAACGTACGTTACTATAAATAAATGAAACTTTTTGTGCATATAGAAAAACAATAATAATAGCATTGTCATAGTAATTTGTCGACTCAACTCGTAAAATATAAACGATAAATGACTTATGATGTTTTATAATTTTTTAATGTGAAACAATAATTAGTTCATGATAATCACCGCAAACATGGTTGACATGGAAATATAATTAAACAAACAGCATTTAAAATATACGTGATTGCCTAAAATATACGTGATGCATCACGTCTTTTGTAATACAATAAAATAAATGTTTCTGAAAATTCAATTGATTTTATTAATTTTAATTTTTTTTTTATAATGATAATTGTATGTATTTCGTTCACAGATAATAGGCAAATAACTATAAAACAGCTCGTTATAAATAAGAGCCCCAAAATTTTGTTCGTACCCATACTCTGAATAGAACGGTATTTTTCCTGAACAATTTTGTTTCATTTCTTAATTTCATGCTAGAAATACATCTCATAAATGTTTGTATTAGCGATCAATCTCGTATCCATGACCACTCATTAATGTCATAGCCGTTTCTAAAAGTGACGTACCAAAGTTAAATATGAGAAAATGTTACGTCCCAATGCCCTGTACGTCGCACTTATGCACGTTCACAAACTTATCGAACGATGATAGCTATAGATGATATTTTGTTTGATTCATGTCAGAAATAATTACTTATCCACGCCTGTAAGAAGAAACGTCAGTCATAAATTAAAAAAAAAATTCTTAGATATCGATTTTATGAATCATAATTAAAATATAGAATTCATAAATACAACATTTTAGACAGCAAAATTGTTATGAGTTTGTTAGTCTAATTTAAAGAGCGATTGAACTCATAATGAAGAAGTACTTACTAGTTAATAAAAATATATATTTTTTTTCTTTTAGGGACATATTTAATTACTTAAAATTATATCACACAATATTCGTCGATTTCTTGCTGTAAAAGTGTACGATAATTATTCAAAAGCAATTCCGTATTTTTCCGTCATAATATGATGTACAAATTTGATATCTTATATTTTTTGCTGTTTATATTCAAAATTTACACCGACACGGTATCCGCTTATGATTTTTTTGGAAAACACGTTTTAATTTTATATTTTTATCGCAATAAATTTATATAGTTAAAAATATCGTGTATAATGAATACATCAGTCGGTGGTATTCTGTGAAAATAGCATTCCACTCACGATGGTGGACTATACGAAACGCCTTCGATTTTCGTAGGTTCTCTTCTCTATCATTACCATTGCTATTTCCGTCGCATTTCCGTCTCGTCGAATTTTAAATATTACGGTGCGCACACAGCCAAAGGTAATCGTGTCACTCAGCGTCATCGCCACCACCACGGAGTCTAAGTGCCATTACAGATCTCGCTGGCTGCTTACGAACTGAGTCCCAGTATAACCTTTTATGACGAATTGAGTCCCGGGTTGTTTTAGGGTATAAACCAATTGAGTCCAGTGAAATTATAGGTATAATACTAATTGAGTCCATGTTTTAATACTAACTGAGTCCCGTAAAATTAAAAAAAAAAAACATTTTCCTTCCCATTTTTACAGACTTAGGACTGTCTGTAACAAAAAATTCTACTCACTTAATATAACTTCATCCATGATTCTTGGCGTACCTCGTAAACTAGAGTGTTTAATATAATGAAAAAAATGTCCGGCCTAAATAATATGTATTATATTATGTTATCTGACGAATGTGATGATAAAAATGATATCGGTAGATGGTGATTATTATACAAGCGATGATAGAAATAAAATCTAAAATTCCCGACCCATAGTATGATATGTTACTATATTATCTGACGAAAGTCATAAAAATGATATGAATGATATGTATATATAGGTATATCCGTATGGAGCGGCTGTGCAGCATAATTTTAATTATTATTATTATTATTTTTATTATTATTATTATTATTATTATTATTATTATTTATTATTATTTTTATTATTATTCATAATTTTCGCTGTGCCTGGACTCTGGATGGTTATTTCATATTTTACTCAAAATAATCCTCGGACTCAATTCGTATACAATTAGTTTCCTAACCACGGACTCAATTAGTATATGTCTCGTTTGTACCCGGGACTCAATTAGTATATTATTTTTTCCCCGTTCAGGTATAGGGACTCAATTAGTATACAGTGATCTCGCTTCCTACCCGTTAAATTCAACCATCCACCCGCTGGTCAGAAAACCTCACAGATCCTTGATGCGATGACGATTCGACCGCTCGCGCGTCGTCGTCGTGATCGTTTCGTTCTATCAAAATGGTATGCTCACCGGATTTCAAGAAAAACCGATTTGATGATATTCCGAAAACGTTAACCATCGCCGACCGGGTATACGGTGAAATTTCTCTCAAACATAGATGAATCCCTGTTAAAACGGAGGAATGGACGTGTAGGTATTTGACTCGGCTTTGATACTCCCTAAGAAGATTCACCGATTTCGGAGAAAACGTATCGTTGACCACCCGCACTTACAACGCTGATTTCATTCGATTTATTTGTTTGGTAGTGAAATTGGGGCGAATAATTGCAAAACCAAAAGTACATTTGATCTACGTTATGATCGAAGAATTATTAGAACGATTATAATGACCAAGAGATAGCCGGGAACTTAGCGGACTGTCTAATACGACCGACATTAAATCTAGTAAAAAACAGAAGTATTTGTGGATCACGGTGGTGCCGAATTGAACTTGAGCTAGTGAACGAAAAGTGTCAATTGAGTAGGAAAATAGTTACTCGAGAGAAACAAACAGTTGCCAATATATGGACGATCAATGACACCCCGAATAAGGACCATATTCTGGTTAAGATAATCGTGTAGGGATGGGGTACGATATGTTATAAGTTATAAGTTTAGACAGAAAAAAATTTTAAAAATTGTTCATATAATTCGTTGTGTTAGAACGTTAATCCATGGTAGATAAATCAATCAAAAAATGCATTCCTCTTCTAGTCTTCTAATTTCTGTTGTACGGGACTTTAATTCCACGTTAACGAATACCGTTTGTTAGCGAGCTACCGACAACATCTAGTCTTCAATAAAATGTCCATAAACACATGTTTTGTCCTCTCGTAAATAGAATAACTACAAGAAATTCACTTCGAGTCCGAAATCAGTATCCGAGTATAACGTGATAAAATATTATCTCGTTTGCCGAGTTTTCTTTTCTGTAATTTTCATGACATACACGTGGAGGATTACTGCCGATTTTAATCTTTATTGGCTTTATTGGCATACCTGCTTATCGAACTTGGGTCAGGCACGAAAGACGTTAGTGAAGGAGTTACGTCAGGCGTTCTGATATTGTCACGATACCACTAAGATATGTTTCGACATTTCCAATCGAAAACGTTTTTAAGCTCACATGTGTGTTTTCTGTACATTTCCTCCCGTCGAATACGATTTTAAGAACCAATTGATTTTTTTCCAGGCGTAGTATTATTATGTTAGTGCTGCGGCCGGTAATATTCTTCTGTTAACCATAGTCACGTTTTCACCTAAAACGTGTGTTCTCACATTGAATTTGTTATTTTTTTTTTTTTTTTTTACTATTCTTTTCCGAACAAGTGATTCGCGCGTTTGTAACCGCAGTACAACAACTCAACCGCCGTATAATTTTTAATAGCCGTTGTACCACGTTTACGAGTTTTTCATGTTCGAAACACTTGTAATGTAATATGCATAATATATACATCTAAATGATACACCTAAAAATATAAAACTTGCTGTACGATTCTACCTATATGTAAAAATAAGATTATATAATTTTATTAAAAATAATAATTAATTAGTTTTTACCGCTTGTAGAACCACTACAAACTTTAACGCATGTATTTATGTAATACACAAAAGAAACACACACATAATATACAAATCGTGCTCTGAGCATTTTTGTTCGAGATACTTTTGCGGGATTCACCAAAAGGTTCGTTAACACGGTTCATGTTTACGGTTAGTAACATTCGTTTCTATAAAATGAACAGCGAAATTCGTTTGGTCATCGTCATCATCGTGTTAGGTTTCGGTGGTTTAAGTATACTGCATTACTGCCCGATTCGTATAAGACCGCGACCCTGTTCCACAACAATGTAATATTATTTTATAATTGTTGGTTTATTAATTTTGTTCTTTGTTCGTTCGATCGCAACGCTTCGTTTACCCATTTACCTACTTATAACGGAAGATGATGTTTGTGAAAATAATGATTAGCTTACAATACAGAAGAGTCGCCCAATTAGAAATCACGTGTCTGTAACGCATCATTGTATTTAAGTATAGTACATATTGTATTAATATAAATATATATAAATAATTTAAAATATAATTAATTACGATTACCAAAGAAACTATACGATAAAAATCAAGTCGTGACAATTTGTATGTTTTTTTGTTTTTTTGTTAATAATGGAAAACATTGTGTTATTGTTTATTAATTGCTAGGTCAAACACATAATTATAATAATTATGATAATATAATGTATTGTATTGTTTTTTATTATTTTTTTTCCCCCATACGACAGATTTATATGTATGAAAATAAATTGATTTCGTTTTTTTCGCGCGTGTTTTAATTACCATTTATTTTTGTCCTTTCAGATTTTTCAAACATTCAACTATAATTCTCATCATTATTTTATATTACGTCTATAACACTTGTCGTAATGACCCGTCAGATATCTTCAATGCTTTAGCAGTGGCGTTAACGAGAAGAATGTTTAAATTTATGACATATACTTTTTTT